CCTCTCTTCAAAAGAGCTGCTGGAGGCTTCTGCTTGGAGGCTCAGGTGCTGCTTTCAGTCGCATGAGATAAGAAGGATCGTTGGCTCCTTGCTCAAAACCATTTCTGAAGGGCGAAAAGGCCAGGCATGCCCAGTGCTCCCCCAGCCACCACATGAGTATCTCAGTAGGCTCCATGCGACAGGACGGGGGTTTATTGGCGAGGTGGTAAGAGGAAAGATAGGATGATTAGATGCTATTTGCACCTCGGGTAGTTGAAGTGAATTGCTACGTGGACAACCGCATGGGTGTATGACAAGGGCCATTTATAACGGAGACCATTTCCTAGCCAGCAAGGGGGTAATGGGTGCCCAGGTTTTAAAAAGAAAAAGCCAACCACTATCAATCTGAGAGAGCAGCACCACTGTGCATGGTTGCAGCATCACCCCAGCTGGCTGTTTAATGTTTAAAACAGCTCTTTGACAGCTCTGGGCTCTCAAACAGAGCCGCCGATAAGCGCTCAGGCCGTTCAAGTGTTTCCCTCAGAAATCAAGCCCAGAACAAAGTGATTCAAATCACCACGATCCAGTGGTTACGCAAAATCATAAGTAGTATCCAATATTTATCCAAAATAGCCTAACTGGAACTGGAGGCAGCCTGTGAAGCTAAATCTACTGGGCTTAATTTACCACCACTGAGGCAGGAGTTTGAGAAGGTTACAAATAAGACATTTTTGTGACTAGCTTGATTGCGTTAGGCAAGGATTTTTCTGGGGGATGTCTTTTCCTGGACCCATGGCATGGTTGGGATGAAGTTAGACAAGCATTCGAACACAAGCCATTCACCAGGTAGCAGTGTGTTAAAAAACAAGAAGTTGGGAAGGTGGGGAGGGGATATTCTCAGCGAGAGATAATATACACTCCTGTTCAGGGCAGTATGGGAACATATAGCGAGTGAGCACATGCTGGAACCTTTATTTAAAAATAAGAGATGGCCACAGAGCTGAGGCTTGCTGTCAACTGGAGTGCAAGTGGAGTCTCTCTTGCAGATTGAAGTGGTTGGGACCATTGCTATAGCACACCCTAATACTTGAGAAGTTTGCTTCCATCAGTTGTAAATAGAGTTACATGAGCTCATCAGTGAGAGAACACATCCCCGCCGTGCTCTTCCCTTCCCCGCCGTGTGAAGGGATGGAACAAGAGGTAAAAGGAGTCGAAATCTCACTGACAGCCCTGTCTTTATCAATGCACCACATTAACCCGCTGTAAATACTGGCACAGAGGCCGGCACGGCAGCCAGCACGCTCTGAACAGCAATCCCAAGTTCTTTCCAAGCTTCATGTCGGGTGCTGGCACCAGCTCCGACACCCAGCCCTTAGAGAAGCTGGCCAAAGGGCTGGAGAGCGAGTCAGGTGCTCAGTCCCTGTTAGGTGAACGGCTCCAGCAAACTCTTCTGCCTGGCCAAAGGAGAACGAACAGGCCCTGGAAGAGTCAAGTCCCACGCTCCTTTCTGAGGTCGGCAGGAAGGTTTACACGCTACAGAGCCTCGACAGCGGGGGCAAAGGGGTCAACAGCTGTAGCACCAGCCCTGGGAGCTGGCTTAGTATGAGACGGGTGGCCACAGTCGCTCCCAGCTCAGCTGTAGCTACCGGCCAGGGTGCAAAAACTGCATGTAACACCTGTGGCCGAGAGCATGAATTTACAAGAAATCATTTTGTTCTGCAAGGGGGAGAAGGCTTCCAGCCAGGTCAGGATCAGGCCCCCTGCTTCTGCAAATGAAAAACAGCAAGTGGGAAACCGAAATTACAAACAACCCAGCAGAGCCCTGCCTGTAGATCATCTGAATGCTGTTTGTAACTGCAGCAAAATATTGGTCTTCCTGCATTACAATTTATTACTGGTGTTGATTTAACATTCGTATTTCTGCCCTGCAAATCATCAGGGCTGTAGGAAGTGAGCAAATGTTTAACAGTCCTCTATTTATGTCCTAGTCTTTTGTTTCCTTGGAAACATTGTAAATGGAACATGAAATGTGATGGTTTCAGCTGATATGGTGATTTCCGTGAATCAACCTTAAGCTCCTCTCCTAGCCATAGGCTCCATCTATCTGATTAAATGAAGGAGGAAGGGGAGGCAGGGAAGGAAAGTCCCAGTGTGTGGCTAAACTGGTCAACAAGGCATGATTTCGGCAAGGCCAGGTGGCAGAAACGCAGGTTTATGCAATGGGAAGGCTGTATCTGCAGCTCTGCATACAGCAGGAGAGGCAAGGAGGAAGCAGGTATGCTGCTGCCTTCTGTAGCAGCGATATTAGGATGACTCCCATGAATTCACCCTGCATCTGCCTACCGAGGAGAGCCAAATCAAGCCTGGCTCTGAAGCCAAGCACAGCATTAAGCTTCCCAATCATGAACAAAGCAAACCAGGAACAATGAGAAGTGTTGAGGTTCTCCTGGCTTACGGCTGCTTTTACTTGACATGTTAAATATCTTACAGGGAGAAAAGAGTCAGCAGGGGAGAGAGCAGCAGCTAGACATGACCTACTCCTTACTGCTGTGGTGTGGGGTCAA